AAAAAAAACTAAAGTGGATAGAGAGAAATACTGTTAACTGATAGTACATGGTGGGGATTATAATCAATGTAATGAAACAAGGTATATGATTTGTTGAATGTAAAACTGATGATATGCCCTGTAAACTTACACTCAATCCACAATAAAAATCTTTAAAAAAAAAAACTGAAAAGGCTTTTGTTTTATGTATTATGTGAAGAATTTAATCTTATATTGGTTTTCACAAGTTCCCTGGAGGAAAAAAAAAATTGCTCTGTGCATATCTCTTGAAAAATAAGACAGTAGTATTTTTCCTTTGCAATAGCAGTTATAACAGACGTGAAAATAAATACACTTGACTCTAATATGATTATACAGAAGAGCATGGTTGCATTTTAAATGTTAGACAATGCTACTACTATAATAAATTATTTCACATTGAACGTTTTATCATGATTCCTCCCTGTCAAACACTAAAAAGTCGAACCATTATACTTTACACTTGTAATGATACAAATTATGAAATTTCCCCTCAAACTCATTGCAGCAGATAACTTTTTTGACTCATTGACTTCATTTTATATTTTTAAAAAATTAGGAAATACCATTATGTCATTATAGTCTAATTAAAATTGGACCTAATGCTTTGAAAAATGGGTCTTTTATAAGAAAAAAACTGGGATAACTTATTTTATGGCTTTCAAAGTTAAAATACATAATTTACTAAACCAACTCTAATATTGCTTCTTGTGTTTCACTGTCAGATTAAATTTACAGATTTTATGGATGATTAAATTTTAGTACATTAAAAAAAAAAAAAAATCTTAAGAACGAATGCAGTTTCAAAATTTTAGATGAACCTTACCTAGCAGATTTCAGTACTTTTAGAGAATTTTTGAATAATTGCATATCTCTAGGATTGAATGTTATTAGTTACATATTGTATTTGTTTAAGAAATCAGTTTACCTGTTCATAAAGAAGAAAGGTCTTGTCTCTCTCAGATGTAAGAACCTTGACATTACCCTGAATTTCTGCCAAATGACGCTCATATTTTTCCAGCATGCATTTAAGTTCTTCACGATCTCTTGTTGTCTTCAAAAGCTCGACATCACAGTTTGCACCCTACAATTATTGTATATTTAAAATTCCTCTGTGACATTTGGTAATGGCAGTATACAATCTGAACTTAGCTAAACATGAGTATAAATTATAAGAGCAGAAATATTCCTATTTTTTAAAGACCCTTATCCCAAATTCGTTCACATCTGACTCATCACCTTCTAAGCATTAGTAATGCTGGAGAAACAACATGTGATCCACTATGCTGTCAAAGACACCTCTGTTGCCCAACGTCTTTGATGTAGCAATTCATGCTAAAATCTAAATGAATTCTTTTCAGATTAGGTAAAGCGAAGATTAGAAGCCAGTGTTTGAGGACAATGCTCCAAAAATATATGTTTTCAAAACCTACCCGGGAAGATGGAGATGGGCGTCTTGGACTTTTGGATCTACTTCTGATCATCTTTCTCAAATTCTGAGCTTCCCTCTTGTAGTAATCTCTGTCTGCTTCTAAAGTCTTGACAAAGGAATCAAGTCTGGAAGGAGATTTATTTTGTGCTTTTTCAGTCTCTAAAATTATCTTGCCAAGGAGGAAAAAATTAGGCCATTATTTCAAACTAAACTATAGCATCATTATCTAAATAAAAACTGAAAATAAGTATAATCCTTAAAATTGGTACTAAAATACCTCAATTTGATATTTAAGGATATAAAAATGTTTAATTTATCGATACTTTATAAAAATTATTGGATATATTTCTTTTCCAAAAGTGCCCTAAATTTACTCAGTAATATTTGAAGAAAAGAAATATTAGAGATGCCACAAATGTTCACAGATCTAGTACAAGTCCTAGAAACAGAATTAATTTGATTTAGAAAAATCTGCATACAACTTTTAAAGTATCTCTTCATAGTGCCTAAGTTTTGTTTAAGAACTGTTCAATGAACACCTAAATTAAATGAATGCTGGATACTTCCACACTTGTACATGGTTCTAACCCACTAGCACATCAGTGACAAAAAGACCTGGTGATTTGTTGCCATAAAAATTACAGTCTCAATAACCCAATGGAGCAGTTCTACTACACTACGTGGTGTTATTATGAGTTAAAATCAATAACAACATGCACAGTAAAGTGTATGTCCATGAATTCCTATTCTCTTCAATTATTTTTAGAAACATTTCTTTTATAACATTTATTTACCAATACTTTATTGGAAGAAAATCACAAATATACAAGGGAGCTTAAAATTAGTGGAAAAATTCCATTATCTTTTCATTCCATTTTCCACAAACTTTTTCAAGCCCCCTTATAATATTAAAATATCTAAAATTTCCCATTGTCGAACAAATCCTCACAGCAAGAAACATTCACACACACCCC